CCCTAAAGTCCTAAAAAAAGCAAACCCCCCCCCCAGCCCCCAAAAAAAAAAAAAAGGAAAAAGGTGCCACTCCTTTTATCAATACATTCTCATGTGAAGGGTCCCTCAAAGGCGATGTGAAAGGTAAGTGGCTAACAGTAGGTCCTAGCAGGGGTCCCTCCATTGTCTCCTCCCCTCCAGCTCCCCTGCCCCTGTCCCCTACTGACCAGCTTGGAGTCAGGGTCCAGCTCCCTGCTGCAGCAGGCAGGGACTGCCCGAATCACCAAAGCTCTCCAAATCAATCAATTCGGACCTTTTAACTGGTCTCCCAATTCAATTTGGATTTGGAGATTTGGCCACCGAATTGGGCCAAATCTCCTCCAAATTGAATCAGCACCCGAAGCTTCACACAGCCCTACTTTTCATCAGTAGATCTCAAATCACTTTACAAAGGAAAATGGAACAAGACTGGTAACCATGTCGGATGTGATGGAAGAGAAGTCTGGAGCAAGGCAGAAGGGAACAAGGTAGGTTTTTAACATTCTGGACTTACTATTATGTACCTTCTGAAAGTCCACTCAAATCTGTGTTCTAGAGCAGGGTTGAGTATATAGCAGAGGAGGAGGAAGATTAGTGATTCCCATTGTGTGTTCATTTCTTCTTTGGAGAGAAGTCCAGCTTATTGAACCAATAAAATGGACTCCGTCTTGTCTGTAGCTGATGGAAGTTTGCCATGCTATATGGGGATGGTGTTTATGTCTCCCATCAGCTCAAGGTGGCCCTAAATTCTTTCAGGGCATGTACAATATTGTCTATACCAGGGTTGTTCAACTGCGGAGTGGTCAGAGGCCATAGGCTGCATGGGCCATGGGCATTCCCTGAGCCACGTGCTGCATGAGCTGTGCAGGCTGCCCCATCACGCAAGCTGCATGGACTCCCTGGACTCTCATGGGCTATGCTGTCCCACCCAGAGGCAGGAGCAGAAAACAGAAGCTATTGGAGAAAGGGGGAGCCTAGCCTAGAGACCCCAGCAGCATCAGGAGCATGGGAGGGAAACAGCAGCCAGGCAGGAACCCACTGGCTGCAAGTTGAACAGCCTTGTTTGATATGTTTGCCCAAAAGTTCCATTTTCTTGAAAAGAAGATTTTCTTTTGTGGTTGGTACTTCCTTGAGGATAGCCAAAACCTGTAGCCGTGAGGCTCTTCCTATTTTACAACAATAACCAAGGATCTGCCCATGTCTGAGATGTCCAAGGCCATTTCTTCCTTATTGTTGTGGTAGATTAACTGAGAACAGCACCATCCAGTACCTCATTAGAAAACTGTATTTAGTCAAGGGAGGTTAGTAATTAGAAATGCAGAGTTTCAAGTAGGCTATCCTGATGAACAGATCAATTTTCTCTGGTTTCTTATTGTCTAAGTGCACTTTTGAAGGATCTGGATTTCTCTTGGATGAAACAAGCAACTAACAACCAAAAATCAGAGTAAGAGTAGACATAGTTAAGCCCTTTCTGGTGGCCATGTTACAGTTTTTTGACCCTTTTCACTGCAGCTGAAATCATGGAGGTTTCTGCCCCAAGTTTAGAGACGTCAAGCATTCCTCTGTTGATTGGAAGGGCAATTCTTACAGGCCCTGATGCCAATAGGGTATGGAACAGTCAGTGCAAGTTTCTTGTGTCTACTGATAACTAAAAGTGTTTGTTTCTCTCATTGGTGATATTGGTAAGCTTTAAAAATCATCCAGCGCTGTTACTGACACATCGACATCTTTTGGAGGAGAGATGCTGTTCTCCCCATTCTGCAATGAATGGTGCCAGACTTCCTCTCAGTCTGATATCATTGGTTTGGCCACAGGTGACAGCAAAAAATGTGAGCACCACCATTTCTTTCAATGAGATGGCGAGTAGGTTCTAGAGGTTTAGAGCTGGTTGTGGCTTGTTTCCTCATGTCAGTCAGTTCATTGCCAGTCACAGTGAAACTGTAATGTACTGTTTAACAATGAGCCTTCAGGTCTGTTCAGTGGATTACCTGCTGACCAGAGGATGGATGCTACTTGTTTGAAGGTGTTAACAAGATGTGACCTGGTGAAGAAGGCGAGCAATATGTTTCCTCCAGAGAACTGTTGAGGTAAACAGTGATCTGGGTACTGGGATCTGTTCTTGTGCCTGCAGTGGTCTTAGTGCTGGGGATATCTCTCTGCACTGTTGACTCTTTCAGAACGATACGTATTTTCTTACAGGGTTGATGATCAGGGATCCTGGTTTTCTCTGCTTAAAAAATCTCCAATTTTTTGGGTTGTTTAAATGAAAAAATTGGGGATTTTTTTTTAAATCAGAGAAAACCAGGATCTCTGTTGATAATGGTGCCTGTGTGGTCATTAGTGCCAAGGTATGTTCTGTCAGTACCACAAGGATGACCGCCATATCATTAGCTTCTCTACTGTTTAGGACTAAGCAATCTTATCCTCAGAGGTGTGTTTTTATCCTTGCTTGAGGTATCAAGAGTCTTGGCTTCTTTGCTCAGAATGTCCACTCTTGTAACTCACCTTCAGTATTAAAAGGTATCAGCATTTTAGATGACTGTGCTGGAATCCTCAGCAATGTCTTCCTTTTGGTTGTCATGGAAGTACTGGAGTCAGCTTTTTGTGCATCATGTGTCTACTGGAGGACACTGATTTCTTTAGTATGTAATTGCAGTTGGCATTTGGTTCTTCAGGGTCCGAAGTGTCTTTTCCCCAGTAAAGTGGAGCTCAGCTTGGCTTTCACTCAAGCAGAACAGGCAGTTGCTATGATTGGTGGTAGAATCAGGCCATCACACAGTGGTAATAACTTCAAGTCTGAAGGCTTGGAGTTCCCCATGAAGCAGAAGAGAAGAGTGCTTAGCTGTGCTTATACAAAGGGACTGTGTATGAGAAGCATTTTCCTTCTCACTCTCAGATTTGAATAAAGTCGATAGAATGATTCCTACCAGAATGCAGATGTAGATAATTACCAAGTTCACAGATAAATGAGTAAAGAATAAGTGGATGTTGAAAAGAAGTAGGACTGGCAGTGCTGAGTTGTGTCTTGCTGCCACCTACAGTGAGAACTGAGAGAAGGTCATGGATGCTTTTGCCCTTTGTATGGAAGCATGAGAAGGCACAGGGCACATGCACAGCTCCAATGGACACTTTAAAAACAAAAAGACTCATCTCACAGACATGAGGCGCACAAGCACCTACAGTAGGAACAAAAACTAAAAAATATGTACAAATGTAAGTTCTTTGTGTGTATCTACCAGTTCTGAAAGAGAAGTGGCGAAGAACAAATTCTTGCCTAACAGAAAGTACCAACTATATAGTATGGCTTCTCAAGACTAAATACTTGCTCCCAAACTAAGAAAAGAATTTAGGAAGTTATGAAAAAGATTACCACGTCATAGCAATATTTATACCAATACACATACAATGTCAACTTTACTATCCTACTAAAATAAACACTAAAGAGTAATTATATTCCTAATGAAAACAGGTATCTCCCTTGCTGTTAGACCTTACCGTCTCTTTGCGCCTTTTGGTACAAGGAGTATTGGTAGGAGAAGAGCCAGCACTGAGAGCCTCTTCAATATCTAAATTCAATTGTTCCAGCTTCTTCATCAGATATGACATAGAGTCTGACCACTCAGATCCTGTTTCTGGCTGGGTCTAAAAGAAAGCCAAATACAGAAATTCTTAAAATATTAAAAGCTGTTCATGAATTGTAATTTTTTGTGTGTCTACTGATGGTCAACCCTGCCTACCCTCTTGTGACCTCCTCCATTTAGAAAACTTCAGCTACTATCTCTACCCCACTGATACTTATACACATGCTTTTCCCTGACTAAACACAAGCCAACCACTCCTTGATATCCAAATCTATCTTTAACATTTCATCTTGCATCAAGCACTACCAGCTCAAGCCAAGTAGGCTCATAAACAAGCTCTTTATTTTTTCCTTCCTAAGCTCTTTTGATTTTTATCTTTATTTGCATGAAAATAAAATTGATATTTTTCTTTCTCCACTAGGCTCCTAACACTGGGCGTCACCCTACAATCCTTACTTTCTTTTTCACTGTACAGGTATGCTATCTTCAGGGCTTACTGCTTTTTCCTATGTATCAATTTGAAATCTGCCTGAATGATCAAAATGCTTAACTTCCTACTCATTTTCTGTCTTGCTTGCCTTCTCTTTCACTTTTTACATATTAAAACAACTTGTATAGTCAACTCTTTTGTTATTTCTTTGTTATTAAGGAGAGCCCTTGCATGGAGTTCCATTATTACCCTCAAACTACTTTTTTTCAGTCATCTCACTTTGACAGAGTATGAATATGTTCACATATACATCATTTCACTTAGTTGATTTTAACAGTCTGTGCACACCGATACTAATAATCCGTTGCAACTCTAGAACACTGTCCTACCAAAACTCTTAAGGTGCTTTACAAACATGAAAGAGTTAAGCCTTGCAACACCTAGGTGAGCTAGGCAAGTCTCTCTTTGATAAATCCTTGTGTTGAATCATGTCCTCTTTTGGAGCCAGAAATTGGGACACAGAGAAGATAAGGCCAGATTCTAATACACCTTACAGGTGTAAAAGTGAACTCAGGCACCCGAGTGCTATTCTACTCCACCTTGCTGAGACCCTGAAAGTCTGCTGCTGCTTTTCAGAGATTTGATTTTAAAGGTAAGATTTAAGGGTATGTTACAAAAGTAGATACATTAATGGATCTTCAGGGATTTGAACACTGTGGAACACAATCATACTTAGGTGCCTAAGTCCACTTTAAATGTTCCACAGATAGAACAGGGTCTGGCCCAGGGTGACTTGATGGTCACACAATACAGGGCCCATCTACACATGAAATTTGTGCGATACAATAAACTCTGGTCCATATTGCGCCAGAGTTTATTGCTCCTGGGAGCAGCGTCTTCATGTGTGCCTGGGACCACAGCATCTTGAGCTGGGTTGGAGCAGCCCTGGCTGGCAGAGGGCTGGGGGTGGTCAGCCTGGGGCTGCTCTATCCTGGCTCAAGGTGCTGTGGAGGGGCTGGTTGCAGCATGAGGGTGCTCCAGTATGGGACCGGCCAGTAGGCACCTCATGAACTGAAACACCCTCATGCTCCAGACAACCCCATCAGCTTCTACGCATCTGTGGCAGCACACTAAAGCATTTTGCCGTAGGATAGTACTTGTGTTTGTGAGTGCTAACCTGCAGTAAAGTCAATTACTTTCCTGTGGCCTAATAGGGTTGCACATGTAGTCAGAGAGACTACTGCAAAGCTAATTAGGCAGCTCTGCAGTAAGCGTCTCACGTAGATGTGCCCACAGTGTGGCAGAGCCAGAAAAAGTATTGGGAGGAATGCTTATTTAACACCAATATTATGCCTCTCTAACTGGCTTGCCCTTGAAGGAGTTTCTCTCAATTACACCTGAGTGAGAGAAGAGTTATGTCTTAACCAGAAAATCATGCTTTGTTGCTTAGAAAGATAGTTTAGGCTCTATTCGCATTTAGTTACTTATTTAGTACCATATTTACTTGAATACAAGACAAGGTTTCCTCCCTCCCCACCCCACATCAGTTTGGGGGAATAAGCCCCTCAACTTATGATTGCATACAAAGAAACCTCATAAAATACATTGTCTATTATTAAACTGCTGCCAAAAGCCACATGTACTCAGCAATGGAAACCAACCATGAAGTTGATTAAATGCAGCCAACACTGAGCATGGCTATAAAACACTTGGTCCATATTGGCACATGTCCTGATGGGATTTTTGCCCAATACCACAAGGATAGGTTAGTGTAGTCCATCTAAATAAGATATGTGGTAGTGCCCATTATGTGCACTCCCTCTTAGCCCTGCCTCTTTTTTCCAAGTTGGGGTGAGCCACTACACTGCATACATGTTCACTTCTTCACATCCACAGTTGAGCTGATATTCCTAATGAAGATTTTCTGGAATGATGTAACAATACCTATAAATTAACTAAATATTACATTTAAGAAGGGTTACTGTCTTTGGAGCTTTGTGGAAAAGACAAGCATTGTAATATTAAATTATGAGTCCAAACAAAATCATTATTTACATCCTATGAAAAAAGTATTTTTTTCCTGGACTTCTAAATTTTCTCTCTCCTTTAAAAGACAGTGAGAAATAAAACCGTGTTTGAAATCCATTGCCTTAAATGAGAAAGATTTCCAAATATTTCTGATGATGACTCTCAAATGATGTAACAATAGCTATGTCTTAACTAAATGTTGCATTTCCAAAATACTGACTTAATTTAGTACATATCAGGGGTGTCAAACTCACCCCCTCCCTCCCCAGGCCAGATTTGGATTGTGGGGCTTTTAGCAGGATAGGCTTGGACATGGTGGCCAGGCAGGCAGCAGTGGCAGCAGAGTGAGCAGCTGTGGAGGAGATTAGCGAAGTTGTCACTTATCTCCTTTCATGGGCACACGTGCCCCAAAGGGCTCCATACCCCATGTTTCCATGGCAGATTCCACCCCAGCTTCCCAGTACTTCTACCAGCCACACAGGGCACATGACATGGCTCCACAACCAACAAGTCTGACACATCTGATATATACAAATGCACCAAAAATCCATTATTTCCATTAATAATTTAATCGTTTTCCTTTTTCTAAGAGATCACAAACCATTTCACCTTTTAGCTAATATGAAACATATCATAGGGATGACAAAAATATCTAGTCAAGGATTTGAAAAATAGGAGCTAAAGTGTTCTCTGAAATCAAGTTTTTTCCATTAAGTTCTGTCTTTTCTAGTTCAATAAGACTGTAAATTGTGTCCATTAAATTAAGGGGAAGAGGGGAAAATGGGTTTTCATTATCCTATCAGATAAAGCTAAATGGGTCTAGTTAATAAAATGACATTCACTAATTGGAAATTTGGCACAAAAGCTACATTTGGAACAAATGTTGATAGCCTATATTTAAGGGTTGCCTCAAATTACTGCTTAACTGCAAAAACTTGATGGTACTAAACTTTAAAAACATAGAGCTTGCACAGTAGTATTTTAAACAGAAAATACGTTGTATCAAACCCAATCACAAAGGACAAAATTCACCTCTCAATGTTAAATCTTTATGACTAGCTTGGGTGTTAGGGATCTCTGTGAACAAACATGAGATAGAATAATCCTCAGAAGTTTTGGAGAAGCAGTGCAGCTTAGGAGCAGCTGCTACTCAAGCTTCTGGCTTGTAGTATCTTTTGTACATTTTGTGCAGCCCTCTGCAGGGGAAAAGGGTCTGTGGGTCTGCTATGGCAGATCAAACATCTGGCCCCATCCAATACATGCTCCTGCAGAGGCACTTAAAACCTCTTTCATTTGAAACATTTTTGCAGCTGTGTCTGGGACCATCTACACACCTGGCAATGGAATTAATGCAGAAGTTTAGAGAGGGCAATGAATACAGGAACAGCTCTTTTGTATTGTGGAGCCTAGAAGCATGGAGCCTCCTATCATACCTATGCATGTTTAGGGATAGATTAGGAACACAATAATGAAGAGGAGAACCAGGGCACTCATTGCTGTACAAAGCTTCCAGTCTTCCTGCTCTATAAAAGGGGTTCATAGGAAGGCTAGGCATCCACTAGGCAGGAGCACAAATGCTGATCTTGATAGATTTCTTTGCCTGATAGATCTCTCTGGCATAAACTGAAATATTGTGGTTGGACATTATGGAATAAATCTACCACTAACTATGGAAAGAACAGCCACATGGAAAAATCAACGAAATAAATAACCACACTCAAGAACAAAAAATAAGTCTTAATCTTTAGAGAGTAGACTAGCCATGTTTTATCACAATTCAGAAAGTGTGAGTTTCTGAAATGGGTTGCATATGAAGTATTAGCAAGACTTTAGCAGGCTTCCTGAGATATAGTCAAGGTCCACCTCCTACCTCCCCCCTCTCTTTTTCCCTCCCTTCTGCCTTTGATTTGATTTTATTTCTCTTTCTTATACACCACTTTGTGCACCTCCTTTCACAGCATCTGATTATGTAAGCTTCAGCCCATAAAAGCTTGGGCTATACACACCTACTTTGGTTAGTCTACAAGATGTAAATCTACCCTGCCTTCTGCTTGACTTTAGACTAACATGGCTAACTATGTCTCTGTATAGTCAGTGATCAGCCAAACATAAAATTTGGTTAGTCTGTTTTTTCCTAATAGCAGTCAAGGCTGGTTTTCATTTTTTGGATGTCAAATACATTGCCTTTATTAAACATGAACATCTGGAGCTAAAGCTTGTATTCACTTAGAGAGATGAACTCCATTAGAGTCAACATGGAAGTATGGGTATAAATGATAGTACAAGCATTTGACACAATCTACAAAATTATTTGTTATCTTCAGAATAAGAAGAAGTGAATACATTCCAGACATTCAATATGATTTTTTTGTCTCTCTGGGACAGAAAGGTTTCTGCACCGTTTCAGCTTCTTTACTAATATTATTCAGCAAAAATAAATCTGTGATAAAAGCAATGTTTACCTGAAAAGTTCACATCAAAAGTCATGCAAGTTGCCAGTATTTCTAAACCAAAACTACAGGAATGTGGCAGAAATGTACAAACTCTTACAAAATCCGCTGAAGATACAGACAGAAGAGCAGCTCCCTGTTGTAACTCATGGC